CTCTCTCTCTCTCTCTCTCTCTCTCTCCCTCTCTCTGTTGTTGTACAACATGTTAGTCATACATACGTGTTTTTATTTTAATTCAATAGGCCCTGTATTTTGATGTATAGCTACTTTAGGGTTTGAACGAGTGTTTGTAAATATATTATGAAGGGTATCCAGGAAGTGAGTACCATTTAGACAATTATATTCTTTCAAGTCTGCGCGATACTTTATTCAGCTTTTTGACAAAACTCGCCTCTATTGTTCAGTCATACATGTGTGAGTGCGTGTGTGCGTGCGTGTGTGCGTGCGTGTGCGTGTGCGTGTGCGTGTGCGTGTGCGTGTGCGTGTGCGTGTGTGTGTGTTGCACGTTTGTATTACACAGATAATTGTTTAAGTCTTAGTTAGACTCTGTTAGCATGTGCTGATGTATTTTGTTTTCACAGCTGTCATATGTTTTATCCCTTACGTTTGGCTAAGACAGTTCTTCCTTTTGAGGTTAACTTGATTTATTATTGTTCATATAAAATGTGTATTTTAAAATATTTCTTGTGCTTATGTGCGAGGTCTAATAATAATAATAATAATAATAATAATAATAATAATAATAATAATAATAATAATAGTAATAGTAATAGCCTATAGCGCAAATCCCCGCCCAACAGCAAGCTCTATGCCCTTCACAAACTATTACCCCTACAGACCTGAGAGCATTCTGAAACAATCTCAACTTCCTGGGAAGCATACAGTGCAAGCAGTCATTAATTTTATAGGCGCTAAAACACTAACATACTGACAAGATCATCTACTCTCAGTAATCACCCCATCGAAGTAAAGCGCTATATTTAGTGTACACAAACGGTTCTTCCAACCGTTGGATTCTCTTACTTACACCTCGGTGTCAGTGATCTGGTAATGCTTCCTCTTCCGTGGCTCAACCAAAATGAGTTACTTCTGGCAATCCACAAAATGAGATATTGGCAAAAAATCGACACTTGGGTCAAATTTGTAGATTTTCTATTGATGCTACAGTCTTTAAGTATAACATGCCTTTTATTATTTCGTACTTATAAATTGTAAAAACTTCCACAATAAGAGTGATGTACCGATTTCCATAGGGCTCGAATCCGAGAAGTAACTCATTTTGTCTGCAGGTTTCTCAAGTTGGTTGTTTTTGGGGGGCTTTCTTTTTTTTT